TTAGTTTTGTCTTGTATATAAGACAATACATCAGAAGATGTTTGATTAGGGGAAAGCCGAGAAACGAAAATTTGTTTCTTTAGTTGAACCACTGAAAGGGATTTTGGTGGAGCAGACATTGTTTCTGCAAAACCAACTTGAGCCGGTTGTCCGGACTCAGTAGTCCCTTATGCTGGTGAAGCTACATTTTGAGGATCCACTAATTGTGAAACCACTAATCGGAATTCTTCGAAGTCCCTGGTTACGGATTGTTCGGATACAGAATCTTTTTTAGCAACATTTGAGGATTTGCTGCAGTAGGCGTCTGATCCGCCGGCATGTTCTGTTGTTCTTTTAATTTCGGTTTCGGAGTGTTCCCCTTTTGCTGCTTACCACCAGCGGCCTTTTTGCGCTTAGGGGACTCTTCTAATAGCTTACAACTATTAAATTGCGAATCCAGCGCAGAGAGGAGATCATCAGCTCGTCGAAAACTAAACCCCATCAGGCCGCCTTTAGTTTGGCGCATGAACGATTTCATCTCGTCCGCAACCTCAACACAAGCATAACAACATAACTGAAAATTAGGCCCTTTTGAAGGGTCATCACTTGTCCGGACAGTGAAACCGGCACACTTGGGTGCACCATGTTTTCACACAGCCAGCAAGTCATATTAGAATGGTCAGCCCTGATTACGAGGCTGCATTTTTTGCAGAAGCAGACTAAATTATTGCTACTCATTTTACCTATTGAAACCACTGTACCAAAAAAACGAATTGAAATTTATAAGCGAGCAGTTATTAGTACCGCAAGAGCGCAGAAACTGCACGCTTAGAACTTTCAAAACAAAGAAAACGAGAGAACGGGAGCGTAATTTAGGTTAAGTGCACGCAAAAGCAATACTAAAAACAGCACTACGACTTACGACGAACAACGCACAAAAGAGAAACGACGGGGTTACAAGAAAAGAAAACACAGAATAGAATTACGAAATTAAAACAATTTTTGATTGTTATTAGTGCACAAAGATTCAAAGATCACTCGCGAAGCGAACGGAATTTAAATGTAAATTTAAAGATCTGAAAATGAAAATCGTTTTAATACATGGGATGGGATTAAACGAAAACAAAATTGGGCGCAGAAAAAAAAACACGACCGTTCACTTTGAAAATCAAAGTCCAGTCCATTTCCAAAAAACTGTCAGAATAATATAATATTTCAATATAACTCGACATGGTCACCAGACGAAAACTCTTATATTTTACTTTTTTTAGCGCAGCATGACTTTTAACCATGTTAAAAACTCCTTAGGAGGTTTACTGAACTTGTGTTTTTTTCAAATCCAGAAGGCGTTTGTCTATTAAGGACATCACCACTTAAACACGCGGAGGATCCCTATCACCCAACTCTAGAGATGACTGTGGATGCGAGAACGGAGCTAAATTAAAAATCAGAAAAGTCTTTTAAACGAATTCACTGCCTTTGTCTTTTTTGTAGACCGAAATCTGGGATACAGAACAAATAAACGTTCCGCCCATTGCTTGCGCAAATGCCTCTTTAAAACCTATAAAATAGGTCGAATGCATTAGTTGTAGCTACTTTAAGCTGCAGTTGTATTCATACCCGAGACTTGAGGTTGTAAAGTCATTTAATTAATGGTATGAAATCTCTAGAACATACCCACATCCATCTGATCTCTAGCGGTTTGATCACACCCAAGTAAAGAAATATACATATATATACGTACAACAATTCAGTCGCCATCACAAGTGTTTGGCGACCTTGTCTTTATAGATATATCAAAGACATACACAGACACAATATTCTATGTATATTGTATGCATGTTATTCAACCCATGAATACTCTCAGTTTATAAGTTTTATAAACTACTTTTCAATCGTAGCAATCGCTGAAAAATCTAAGCTTCGCTAGCAAAATCTCCCCTCACTCAAACCGGCCACATTCGGGCTATTGTAAACAATTGACCTTTTCCAATCTTAGCAAGAGCTGAAAATTCTAGCTTCGTTAACAGAATCTCCCCTCACTCAAACCGAGCTCTGTGAGAACCACATCCGGGCTACTGTAAACAAATGACTCCAGTCATAAACAAAGCTTCCAAATTTTCCACTTAGGGTCCGATCTAGTCCGAGCCAGTTGCTAACCAAATTTTTGTTGTCCTACTCTCTTAACTTTGCCTAATCTCTTTTCAGCAAGATTCTCTTAAGCCGAGGTTTCATGATTAATAACTTATCAAACCAAGGGCAGTTCTTTTTTGGAGACGACACGATCGGTCGCGAAAATCTATGTTAAAATATAAGTGACTTGTGAAAGTGAATTCCATAATAAAATAAATTATTTTTTTAAAAATCAATCAACTAATAAATTTAATTTGCATGCAATCCCCCATCCCCTTCCTATACTACAGGTTAAAAATGTATTATTCAAATGTATGAATAAGGTGTAAAGTTAGTTATTCTGTACTTAGGAAGGTATAGACATCGTCAGTTTTCTACGCTCAATTTTGTAAACTCTGTTATAGTTTTTTTTATTTAGCAGCAAATATAAACGAAAAGAGAGTTTACAAAATTGAGCGTAGAAAACCGATGATGTCTATACCTTCCTAAGGTCAGATTTTGTAAACTCTCTTTTTGTTTATATTTGCTGCTAACTAAAAAAAAACTATAACCATGTCTTTAGTTCAGTGTGATGTTTGCATCAAAGTTATTAATCTTTCGGTCTTTAAAACGTATTACGAGGAGTGTTCAATGCCTTGTGTTCGGTCATGCCGCAGCCTAAATAAATTCTTAAAGTTTCTAATCTTAAGGTAAATTTAATTCTCGATGTTTGTTTTTGCTTTTTCTATTTGCCCTGCGTGGCATCTCTTTCAATTACTGTAATTGCTACTCCTTTTGAATTCCTTCGCCGATCGCTGCCTGGCCTTTTGTCCACGGCAAGCATCTACTTAAGTTTAGTTTCGATTTTGTATTTGCTCGCTGAAGGCACGGTCGCAGATCGCCTGCCCATTCTCTTCGTTTATACTTTCGCTGTAAAAAGGCACAGACAAATCGGTCTGCCTGCCCAACCAAATAATCTTAAACATAAACATTAAACTTTGTAATTAAGGACTTGGTGTCATTTAGAATAAAATTAGTGCATATTTAATTGAAATCTTGTGCGGTTTTGTTTTAATTGGGCACCATCAAAGGTTAGCGTTAGTGAAAAAGCTCACTGACCCAACATTTTGGTGACCCCGACGTGATCTAAAAACAATAAAAACTAAAGTGCAACCAAACAAATAATTTAATTTTCGTTCGTTTGATTGATCGCGCATATACATAACCTGCAAGTTCTATGTACATATGCAAGCGCAAGCGGTAATACATAAACACCGCTAGAAACTCACATCGCACCCGCCCCGCGCTTCATAGAAAACATTTTGGTTTCCTCTTTGTGCCTTCGTTCCCGCTTTGAAACGTTTACAGCGGCGAACAAACGTTTTTGTTCGTGAGTTCGTTGCACTCCCTTCCACCGCTATATTGCCGTTTATGTGCAAATAGACGCACATACATTCCGTTGGTTTTCCGGTGGTCAAGAGTTTTGGTACAGCACGCACTGGACAGTGGAATTTAATTATTTTGCGAGTGATAAAAGCTGAAAATAATAAAATAAATTTATTAAAATGTCAACCGAAACAACTTTAGCTGCTTCAGTTCAGGAAGTGAAGCATCTCAAATTGAAGGCTGAATCAATGCTTTCTAAGGCGAAATCCTCTGAGAAGGCCTTGACTGTTGAGAAGCTCCAGGCGATGAGTAAGGAAGAATAAGAGCTTCGTGTTAAGCTCTCAGAGGAGAATAAGGCTGCATTTGCCCAGGTCCATGACAGTCTTGAGGAACTGGATTTTAATGAAATCGGCAGCCAGGTTCGCGATGATTTTGAAGAGCTCATCATATCATGCTAAATCGAGAATTGGGTAAGCGTCAACGTCCGGCACTTCGAAGTTCTACGCTCAGGCCAGAGCCATCTCTGGATTTCCATTCTGTGCCGGTTAAAAGATCTCATTTGCCTGAGCAAATCTCAAATTGCATTCTGGTTCATGTTTTACTCCAAAAATTAGATAGCAAAACTCAGGCCAATTGGGAAGAATCTGCGGCTATTGATGAAATTCCTTCGATTGATCAATTTACTACATTTTTGTCCAAGCGTTGTCAAAAATTGGAAAATGTAGAGCATACTGCAGCATCGTACTCATATAGTTCACAATCAGGAAGAAGCCGCAACAAAAGCATTTTAATTGCCACTAACACTTTAGAAAATGGATGTGTTGTGTGCGACAACAGTGGCCATTCAATTTATAGCTGTGGTCAATTCGCCAATTTGTCAGTGCAAGAGCGTATTCGAAAGGTGAAGGAATTAGCGCTCTGTCTTAATTGCTTAAAGAAGGGTTATCAAATGCGCAATTGTAAGTCAGGCTGCTGTCGAACTTGCAGGTCCAAGCATCACACCCTTTTGCACCTTGGCACTCAGTCTTCGACCCAGGTTATGCGAGCTCCAGCTGCAGAACAAAGTACGCCAATTGCAATTACTTCAAGCCCTTCTACCTCTTTGCTGGCTCAGAATGTGGATTCTGACATTGTCTTTCTTGCAACTGCAGTCATAAGCGTTCAAAGTCGATCAGGTGCTTGGATCCCATGCCGTGCGCTGCTAGACTCGGGATCTCAAGTCCACATTGTGACTTCCAGACTCGCTCACCAGTTGCAGTTGCATAAAACGAAGTCTACCGTATCAGTTGCAGGACTTGGAGATGCTCGATTTGACTTTGAAGGAGTTTCCGTTTGCGTTAAGTTAAAGTCGCACAATTCTGATTACTTCGCATGCCTATCTGCTCTTGTTGCTCCAGCGATTACCGGCAATCAACCCAATTTGACCGTTAAGCCCGATGGTTGGAAAATTCCCTCGAATATTCAGCTGGCCGATCCGGATTTCTATAGATCTCGGCGAATAGATCTCCTTATTTGGCGCAAGCATGTTCTTCGAGCTATTGTCTGTAGGGCAGATTAAGTTGGCTGCTGGGTTGCAGAAAACAAGGCTTGGTTGGATCGTTACAGGAGGTGGATCTTCTACTCTCAAGGCAACTGCATTACACGGCCAAGCTGTGCACCGTGAATTGGTTGCTATTGAAGTTCATATGGATGAATTAGTCCGTCGCTTTTGGGAAGTTGAGAGCTGTGGTGAAGGCGTGGTCACAGCCACCAAAGAAGAACTGGAGTGCGAAGCTCATTTCAAGACCAACTTTCGTCGTTTAGACTCTGGTGAATATTCCGTACGATTACCTGCGAAGAACACTCTAGAATTACTGGGTGAATCGTACAATCAAGCTTATCGTCGATTTCTCAATTTGGAGAGCAAGCTAGAGCGCAAGCCAGAAGTCAAGGTCCAATATTCGGCATTCTTTCGTGAATATTTGCATTTGAAGCACATGTCGGTCGTGCCCAGAAACTTCTTGAGTCTTTGCAAATATTTTCTGCCCCACCACTGCATTTTCAAAGAAGACAGCACCACGACTAAATTGCGAGTCGTTTTTGATGGGTCTGCCAAAACGTCAAGTGGATATTCGCTGAAGCGAATTCAACAGAAGCTGTTCAACACGCTGTAACAGTTTCGGACTTTCCCTGTTGCATTGACTGGTGACATCTGCAAGATGTATCGGTGTGTTCGCGTGGCTGAACCCGATAGCTATCTTCAATGTATTCTTTGGCGTGACTCACCGGACCAGGAGGTGCAGGTATTCAAGCTTGATACCGTGACCTATGGAACTAAGCCTGCAGCCTTTTCATCCGTTCGCGCGATGCATCAACTGGCGAATGATGAGAAGAGCACATTTTCAATCGGTTCTAAAATCATTTTGCGGGACTTTTACGTTGATGATCTGATCACAGGAGGCCAATCAACACAGGAAGTCCTCGAAATCATGACTCAAACAACAAACTTGCTTGCACGAGGTGGCTTTAAGCTCAGGAAATGGTGTTCCAACGAGCGCGATGTCCTTGATAAAGTTCCTGACTCGGAAAAGGAAACATTCCTGAAGTTTGACGATGGCAGCGACTTTACCAAGACACTGGGTCTTGCTTGGGATCCTGCAGCGGATGTCTTTCGTTTTTCTTTTTCTCCCATACAGGTCTCTCCAAAGCCATGTAAACGGCTGGTGCTTTCCACAATTACTCGCGTGTATGATCCGCTTGGCCTCATTGGTCCTGTGGTTGCCAAGGCCAAGATCTTCCTGCAACAGGTCTGGAGAGAGAAGTTGGAGTGGGACGAGAGCCTTCCTGAGGCACTCAACACATCATGGCTGAAGTTGTCATCTGACATGGGTCATACTCAGCAAATGAAGTTTCCTCGACGTGCGCTGCATCCAAATGGTGCTATTGAGATCCACGGATTCTGTGACGCTAGCATCGACGCATATGGAGGATGTATCTATCTCGTTTCAATAGCTGATGGCAAACGAGAAGTGCATCTATTTTGCTCAAAATCTCGTGTGGCACCTTTGAAGACTCTCACTGTTCCCAAATTAGAGTTGTGCGCTGCTTTCTTACTGGCTCAACTGATGCGGGACGTACGCAACATGAAGCTCTTCGATTGCCCGTTTTTTTGCTGGTCAGATTCTGCTGTAGCTTTATCATGGATAAGCGATGAACCTTCACGTTTTCAAGTTTTTATTGCTAATCGAATATCTTTAATTCAAGAGCTATCCAGTGGCATGAATTGGCGCTATGTACCGACCGACTGCAATCCAGCCGACATCTTGTCAAGAGGTGCTTCCCCGAGCGAGCTTCTGGAATCTGCCCTTTGGTTCAGAGGCCCAGAATTTCTTCTTAAGGATCAGCGCGGTTGGCCTGAATCTTGTATGCCAGTGAAGACTCTTCCCGACCTCAGAAAGCGCATTTTGGTCGGCGTCGCTAAAGAAGTGGACCTATCTTCAAAATGCAAGTTCGTGAATTCTTGGCAAAAGATCCCCCACACTTTTGGATACGTATACAAATTTGTTCACCGCATAAGACGTCCTGGTCTCGATGTCGAAGATGTAAAAATGGGCACTCAGATGCTTATCAGATGCATCCAAATGAGCAGCCTGGCTGATGACTACTGGAGGCTGCATTCTAAGCGACAAATTACATCATCCAGCCCGTTGGCCTCACTTTCTCCATTCATCGATAGCTTTGGGCTGATGCGAGTTGGTGGCAGACTACAAAATTCGTCCTTGGATTACAATGCGCAGCATCCTGTCATACTACCACGCCAGCATCCAGTTACAAGTGCTATCATACTGGACTTGCATCGAAAAAACTTGCATTCTGGTCCGCGAGCGCTGCTCGCTAACATGCGTCTTCAATTTTGGCCGATAGGTGGCCGAAAAACAGTATCATCTGCAACGTCCAAGTGCGTCATATGCTTCCGAGCTAAACCACAATTATCTCAGCATTTAATGGCTGACCTACCTAAGGATCGTGTAAATGCAACATCAACGTTCATGGTTACTGGTCTGGATTTCTGCGGGCCATTTTGCTACAAAACCGGAGTTCGAAGCAAGGTGCCTGTGAAAACGTACGTCTGCGTTTTCATCTGTTTCGCGACGAAAGCGATCCACCTGGAGCTTGTTCAGGATCTTTCAACACAAGCGTTCTTGGGAGCATTGAAGCGGTTTATTCTCACCAGAGGCAAACCTGCCCGGATATGGTCAGATAATGCTACGAACTTCGTTGGAGCTAAAAACGAACTGGCTGAGCTGAAGAATCTATTCCTGTCTGGCCCACACATTCGAGCTATAGAGGAATTCTGCCTAGAAGATTCAATTGAGTGGCGTTTTATTCCCCCACGTTCGCCTCACTTTGGAGGCCTCTGGGAGGCTGCAGTAAAAACGGCCAAATTTCATTTTTATCGTTCGGTTGGCCCATCTCTATTATCATTCGATGAATTGCGTACACTCGTTTGCCACATTGCAGCAATTATCAACTCACGACCTTTACTACCTCTTTCAGAGAATCCAGCAGACCTTGAGGTGCTAACTCCTGCACACTTTCTTGGCACAGTTCCGCTGGTGTTGTACTCTGAGCCTGACGTCACAAAGCTAAATTTCAACCGTTTGGACCGCTGGCAGAGAATTGCTTATTTTCAACAAATCTTCTGGTCACGGTGGCGTGAAGAGTATCTGACCCTGTTGCAGCAACGGTCAAAGTGGCGCATCCCCAAACCTGCGCTACAAGTCAACGATGTCGTCCTGGTTCAAAACGAGAACTTGCCTCCTCTTAAATGGCCATTAGCCAGGGTCATGGAATTGGTGCCTGGATCTGATGGAGTTGCTCGTGTGGCAGTAATACGAACATCAACTGGAACCACTCGAAGAGCTGTCCGCAAGTTGTGCGTCCTGCCGAAGCAAGATCTGGTTGAAAGCCCTGGTCTTCCAACGGGGGAGAATGTTCGGTCATGCCGCAGCCTAAATAAATTCTTAAAGTTTCTAATCTTAACGTAAATTGAATTCTCGATGTTTGTTTTTGCCTTTTCTATTTGCCCTGCGTGGCATCTCTTTCAATTACTGTAATTGCTACTCCTTTTGAATTCCTTCGCCGATCGCTGCCTGGCCCTTTGTCCACGGCAAGCATCTACTTAAGTTTAGTTTCGATTTTGTACTCGCTCGCTGAAGGCACGGTCGCAGATCGCCTGCCCATTCTCTTCGTTTATACTTTCGCTGTTAAAAGGCACAGACAAATCGGTCTGCCTGCCCAACCAAATAATCTTAAACATAAACATTAAACTTTGTAATTAAGGACTTGGTGTCATTTAGAATAAAATTAGTGCATATTTAATTGAAATCTTGTGCGGTTTTGTTTTAATTGGGCACCATCAAAGGTTAGCGTTAGTGAAAAAGCTCACTGACCCAACACCTTGTAATACAAGTGCATCAAAATACAAAATTATTTGTGATTTGTGTTTTATGTCCGTTGATAGGGGAAAATTTAGTAAGCATTATAAAAGGTGTCTCGCACCTAAAAATGCTTTTAAAGTGTTGATGGGTGCTCAGATCAAAAATAAGCATTTTATTTATTGGATCTTCTCTGAATTGAGACTAATAATAAGTATATAGAATCTTAAATTAAAAAAAACTATCTGACAGTCAAGGTGACTGGCGCGAGATTTAGGGGCTCTAATAACTATGGCTGAGCTGGAAGGTCATTGCGTTGTAACCGGGTCCGGTTGGAAACCCTGGCTGGGCCCCTGGCGAGCTGGTTTGGATGAGAAGTTAGCTTGGTGTGGTAGGACGCTTTTTGTTTTGATATTTCATCTTTTACGGGTAGAATGCCAAGATCTCTGTGGATGTTGGATGTTCGTTCCGAACATACCAAGGTGCCCCAGTGATAGTTCTCAGGATTTTTGATTATGCTCGCTGAATAATGTCGATGTTGCTGCTGATCGCGTTTCCCCACAATTGGGAGCCGTAGGTCCAGACTGGCTTAAGCGTTGAATTGTAGAGCAGGACCTTGAAGTTCAGGCAGAGGGGGGAGCGCGCGTTTATAAGCCAATGGAGACTGTTTGATTTTAGTTTTAGGTGAACTTTCTAAGCTTCGATATGTCTCCACCATGTAAGTCTCCAGTCTACGTGGAAGCCAAGGTACGTTACATCGTCAGCTTGTGGAAGTGGCGTGTTATTCAGGGTTAGCGGGGGACACGTTTGTCTGTTAAGAGTAACGTTATGTTTTTACACTTTTGCGCATTTATTTTTATACGCCAGTCTGATAACCACCTCTCCACTACAACGAGATGATCAGCTAGTAGTGCTGTTGCCTTAATTGGGGATTTGGACCGACTTATGATCGCGGTATCGTCTGCGAATGTAGAAGTAGTTAGCCGCTCGTTCGTGGGGATATCTGCGGTGTAGAGGAGAAATAGAGTTGGACCAAGGGCGCTACCTTGGCGAACTCCAGCCTCTATAGCGTAGTCGTCGGATGTTGTAGTGTTGCATCTCACGACGAAGGCTCTGTTGTAAAGGTACGATTCAAGTATCCTGTGAGTGTTTCCCGGCAGGATCGTTCTGATTTTATGCATAAGGCCATCAAGCCAGACTCGGTCGAAAGCCTGTGCAACGTCGAGGAATACCGCACTGCAGTATTCCCGAAGCTCGAATGCAGACCGTATTTCTGTTGTTAGTCTTTTGACTTGCTGTATTGTTCCATGGCTTTCTCGAAAGCCAAATTGGTGTGCTGGAATAACGTTGTGCTCTTTCAGATATGGGATTATGCGCGTCAAAAGGCATTTTTTGAGCAGTTTTGACAGACACGAGAGTAAACTTATCGGTCTGTGCAAAGCTGGTATTGTGTGATCTTTTTCTGGCTTTGGGATCATTATGATTACCGATGTTTCCCATTTTTTTGGAAAATAGCCAAGTCGTGTAATCCCGTTAAAGAGTTTACAAATAACCTCAACTGCACAGTTCTGAAGTTCGATTAACATTTTGGGAGTTATTTGATCACCGCCTGGAGCCTTTTTTGGTTTCAATTGCTCGCTGATTACTTTGGCAACTTCATTTGGTTGAAACGAAATTGGCTCCGCCTCAGATTCGAATCGAATTGACGGCGACGGTAGTGCGAATGAATTAGTTGCAGGGTTTGGCTGGAAAACATTTCGAAGGTGTAAAGCAAATGTACAAGCTCTGTCTTAGTCGCTTCTGGCCCAGCTGCCTGAAGAGTCTCTTATGGGAATTACTGTTTCGGCCGGCGCACTTAGATTTGGGTGGGCCCTCCACAAGGGATGCTTAGTGCTGGTGGGTGAAAGTTTTGCTTTTACTTCTTCTTGCCTTAGAGCCCTGGTCAGTCTGCGACCAGCTTCCTTAAGACTTTGTTTAGAGGATGGCGATCTTCTGGTTTGCCAAGCACGTCTCAAACGTCTTTTCTCCAGAACAAGCTGTTCGATTTCAAGGTTAGTTTTGTGTTGGTGTGTGTGCATATCCTACCCTTGCAGTGTTTAGACTTTGGCTGCTGCGTCGAGTATAGACTCCAGTGCATCGGCACAGCAGTCGATGTCCTCCTTGATGTTGAGCTGTGGAGTTAGTTCAATGTGGGAACTTACGTACTTTTTGAACTGCAGCCAGTTGGTTCGATGCGACGTCAGCCTGCGAGGGTGCTCGATTAATTCCGGGCTTTGAAGAAGAGTTATTAGCACAGGTGAGTGGTCCGATGATAGATCCAAAAGCGATTTTGCTGATATTAGATTACGAGAAATGTTTTTTGTCACAGCAAAATCAATTGAATCAGGTAGTTTTCTAGATTCTGTAGGCCAGTATGTAGGGCTGTCTGGTGAAACGTAGTCCAGTTTGTTGTAATTTTTAATGAGTGCATTATATAATTGCCTTCCTTTGGCGGTCACAAGGTGGGATCCCCAGTGCGTGTGCTTGGCGTTGTAATCTCCTGCTGCTATGAATCGCTCACCAAATGAATTGTAGAAGTCCATGAATTGGTCTTCGGAGACTGTAAAGCGGGGTGGGCAGTAGACAGCGGCAATGGCAAGGTTGCAGTTGCCCAACTGTAATTTTATCGAAGTAGCTTGTAGATGATTTTTTGCAAACCGTTGGTGAAAGTGGTGTTTGACGCGGTCTCTTATTAAGATGCCAGTTCCGCCATGCGCTTTACCATCTGGATGATCGGTGCCGTAGAACGTGTATCCCCGTATTTTAAAGTTATATTTGCTGGTGAGATGCGTTTCTGCCAGCAACAAAACGTTGATGTGGTTTTCGTTCAGAAATTGACTTATATCAGGTTTATGCCGTGAAACACCGTTGGCGTTCCACAGAGTTATTCGAAGGCTAGGCATGGTTTATTTGGACTGCTGAGCTGCAAGCATTTGTAACAAGATATTTTGGTTTTGCATAAGGGTTTGCATTGTGGTTTTCATGAAGGAATGTTGCAAAGTAATCATCATAGATTCTATGTTACTTTGTGGCTTTCCCATGGTCTGCTGGATGTTATCAATTTTCGGCTCTATGTAAGCTATGCCTGATCTTAAAGCACTGGCGTAAGACATTCCGTTGGTGGTAATTGAAGAGCCAAATGATGATCTGGCTGCTTTTGCGAAGAAAACTTCCGGTGTCGTTTGTGATCTCATGTAAGTGTTTTGTGTGTTCAGGGAGCGTGCCGTTGTCGCTCGTTGCATCTGACTTTTCATCATCTTGTAGACTGGACAGCCTCTGCAGCTTGCGGTGTGGTTTCCTTGGCAGTTTACACACTTTTTAGTGAGAGAGTCTTCCTTGTTGGCAAGGCAGGGTTCGGAGCCGTGGCAGTTTCCACAAGCTACACATACTGACCTGAGGGTGCAGTAAGCCCTGGTATGACCGTATTCCTGGCAATTTGTGCATTGCACTGGCCCAGTTCGTTTGTGCGGCTCTTCCACTGTGATCCTACGGTGCAAAAGGTACTGAAATTGTAGATCGGGTGCACTGCGTTTTTTTTTTCAAAAGTTTTGCTGTCTGGCTCCAGCTCGACCTTGAAGAGTGGTTGCGGCTTCTTGTTTTTGTTCATAATGTTTATAACATTTTTTGCGCAAAAACCGTTTTCTTTTAAGGCTTCTGTAATTTCGGAGGGCGTCACATCGGGTTCTATTCCCTTGAGCACAACTTGCAAACCTTTACTACTTTTCAGCTGGTACGTGTAATAATTCTTTTTGGCATCGTTTAAGTACTTCAACACTGCTCGGAAATAGTCTTCGGTTTTGGTTTGGAGTTTAGTTTCGCTTATATTCCCTTTCATAATCGGAATAACATAAAAGTTATCCTTTCCGACAAGCTCAACTATTTTGTTGACTATTCCCTTTCATAATCGGAATAACATAAAAGTTATCCTTTCCGACAAGCTCAACTATTTTGTTGACTAGGGCATTCGAGATCTTCTCACGAATAAAAATAGGTGGGGGCTTTAGTTTCCTTGGGGCTAATTGTTCTGTTTCAGGCTCCGCCAGAATGGAAAATCTATTTTCATCTAATGGCCCGGGACTTACAGGGCCTTTGTTGGAACGATTTATTTTAGGCTTATTGCCGTGCGAGTTTTTTGGGGGTGTTAGCTTGCGCTTGGAGACATTAATGTAGCGATCCATGCCTGTCTCCATGGCCGAACCCGCAGAATTGTAATTTCTTCTACCGTAGCTTTGTTTTTGCCGTTTGCACCGATTTTTGCACTTGGTTGTGTTGTTGCTTTACCTGCAGCACAAGAAGAGGGTGGAGTCGTTATAGTATTATTGGCGACCGTTGTAGTAGTCGTAGTAGTTGCTGTTGTTGTTGCGCTAGGCGGCACAAGCTCTGTTGGAGTCTTGCATTGCTTACTCCATGGCGTTTGAGCGGTGAAGAGCAGGGCGGGAGAGCAAGAGCTAGCTCTCTGGTTTTCGGCGGTCAGTAAACTTGCACGTTCAAGCACTTTCGGTTCTAGAGTATTACTCGTCACCGTAAAATAAGCATTGTTAAGGGCCAAAGAAAGACGACGTTTGTCTTGCTCTCTCTGAAATTTTTCACGGGCTTCGTCTTGTTGTTTTTGTCGTTGAGTGCGCTGATCCACGTTCATACTCATTTGTTTATAGTTAGCGCGTAAAGATTAGTCATTTAATTAATTAAAGCTTTAGTTTACGATATGCGATTTGCATAGCGAAACGCAAAACCTCGCGTTTATTAATTTTTCGAATGTTTTCGACTGATTGACTAATTGTTTTTCCGGAGCGTTAAGAAAACACGTCTGCACGCAGCCGAAGTTGATCTATTTATCAG